GCAACACCGTTCACTTAGCAGAAACTCTCTCGCTATCGCTACGCTCTCCATAGTATTCCTTCAACACTTGCAAGGCAGGGTGATTTTTTATGTTGGCAAGGGGCACCCAACTGCCTTTGGTCAGGGTGCGGTCCGTCTAGCAAACGAGGAACTCGATCCTCCTGATTTCCGTGGGGTGGCAATTCCGATGGCTCAGAATTTTCTCGGGCTCGACGATCGGCTCTGATGGAGGGCGAGTTATGGACGGTGGGTGATGGCGCGGCAGCTGGCTTGTGGTTCGGATATATGAGTGAAGTAGGCTGACGTGGAACAATGGGCTGATGTACTAGTCTGTCGACGGTAGTAGAAAGGCAATAATTTGGGTGATCATGTGGCTGATTTTGAATGGTCCAGAGTAACGCGGTCGAAGTTTCGGTACGTCGGGCTGTCTTAGCAGTACGTAATCCCCTGACTCGTACGTTACTGGGAGGCGGTGGTGGTCAGCATTTCATTTTGCGATGATGTTGGCCTTTTTAATTGCATCTACTGCGCGCATTCGGGCAGCCTGCTGAATCTCGGGAAACTGTTATGTGCGTGGCGTTGGATTGTCCGGGCTCGGCGTCATGAACACTAATGGATTATGCCCATGTTGCTTTGTCGCTGATGTTGCGTTGTTGTAGGCGAACCCGATCAGCGGCAACTGCTGCTCCCATATTGTGGAGACGTCGCATGTGGCACAAATCAGCTGTTCCATGGTCTGGTTCGTCCGCTCCGTCTGACCGTCGGTCCCGGGGTGGTACTATGACCTGAACTGTAGCCGGGTTTCGAACTGCTCCCAGAGGTTCTTCTAGAAGTTGCTTGTAAGCTTGGTGTTGCGATCGCTGATTATTGCGGCTAGTATCCCGTGTAGTCGAACGATGGTTGTAATGAGCAGGCGAGTGGTTTTTTTCGGCTCAGACCAATTTCCTGCACGCATCAAAGTGAGCCATTTTTTACTGTCTTTCAATGACGACCGAGTTATTACCACCGGGGCTCGAAAGTAACCCTGAGACAAAATACATGGTAACGTGCTGCCAGGCGTGCTCGGGCGGTGGGATTGGCTACAATTGACCTGCCTTTCTCTTGCGCGAGCTTTTCATTACCCAACACGTGAAGCATGATCCCACGTGGTGCGGTACGTCGGTCAACAGCTCCGGCCAGTAGTAGTACCGCTGCAGTTGCTGTCTCGTTTTTTCTACCCCGAAGTGACTCGAGTTAACCTTGTTATGTGGCTTATGCAGTAGCAGTTCTCTCTGCAGTGAATACGCTAGTATCCAGATGCGATTGGTACGGCTTTTATGTAATACACTCTTTTGGCCTCTATCAGTTGCTGTGAATTTCCTGTCATGAAGAATGTGTCAGTGTCGTATACGTGAGTGAATACACCTGTTAAAAGCTGGTTGTTTTGGGCAAGTAGGATGGCGTGAAGTTGGACAGTGGGACGGGTGAGTGCGTCAGAGATATTTGATGCTCCCTTTTTGTGCGTGACGGTGAAGTGGAAGTTGGACTCCAAGTATTCCTACTAGTGGATCTGTCGCCAATTGAGATTTAGTTGGGCACGTAGGAATTATAATGATCTGTAGTGTGTCTGTACGATCACGTTGGCTTCCGTGAGGTAGCATCGCCACACTTTGAACGCGTGCACGATCACCAGCCTCTCGTGGTCGTGTATCGGGTAGTTGCGTTCGGGCGGGTGAAGCTTGCGGGACTCGTACGCGATTGGCTGAAGGCCGTTCCCGAAGTCCTGCAATAGTACTGCTCCCTCGGCGATGTCGCGTGCGTCGATGACCAGTTCGATGTGCAGTACGGGCAACGAGCGCAAAATTTTCTTGAGGGCCAAGAAGTCAGCTTGCTCTTTCTTCCACCACAAACACTCAACCCCCTTCCTCCGCAGATCGGTCAGCGTGGTAGTCAGCTGCGCCATCTCGGGGATGAACCGTCGCACGTAGTTGATGAGCCCTACAAAACTCTTCGGCTCGGTCAAGTTGTCGGCGCGTGCCATGCTTGAATCGTCGCGTTTTTTACAGGTAGATTTTTTTCGCCAGAAATAATGTGCCCTAAAAACTCTAAGCTATCCTGGTGAAACTCGCTTTTCGATGCTTTCATCAGTAGTCAGTTGTCACTCAATATTTAAGAAACTGCTTCGATGTCCCTCACGTGCTGTGCTTTGTCCGGGTTGTAGATAAGTATATCATCCAAGTAGAGGATCACGCACTTATCTAACAGTGGGCGAAAGGCTTCATTCATGGTCAATTGGAAGATGGCGGGGGCGTTGGTCACTTAGAAGGGCATTACCGTGTATACAATTGATCCGTAGCAGGTTCGGAAGGCGGTTTTCAGGCAATCGGCGTGACCTGTCAGTAGAGGGCACATCTCCTATTGACTCCCAGCATTTCGCTGCTACTTGGTCTGTTTCTGCTGCTCAACTTCCCCCTTTCCCTTAGCGTTTTCCGGGCATTCGCCCTTACGGTGCCCCGGCCTATTGCACGCGAAGCAGCGCCTCAACAATGGCGCGTATCATGGCATGCTCGTTCATCCCACAGGGCCGATGTCTCCAGCTGCTGCTGTTGCCGTAGGACCCCTATCTCGGTCGGCATAAGAAGTTGAGCTTTTCCGCCATCGTGAGAATCTCATTGAACTCGGTGACGTTACGCAGCTGAATCTTCTGAGTGATGTCGTATTTCAGGCCGCCGACATAGCAGTCAATATGCTCTCCCTCGTGGATATATCCCACATGCCCGCAAAAAGCCAGAAACTCACAAATGTAGTCTTCGACGGAACCTGGCTGGCGCCAAGTGCGGAGCTTCTGTCGCGCCGCGATCGAAGCCGCAATTGGCTCGAATCTCGCGTGCAGACCTGCGCACCACGCGTCCCACGTGCGATACTAAGCTACCTCCACGAAGCACGATTGCGCCCAAGGCTTGGTTTGTTCTTCTCATGACAGTAGAGTCTCATAATATGTATATTTTTAAAATCTGTGACGCTTTTCCATTTCATGTATCTTGAAAGTGAACCTGCTTGTAATGTAGGAATGGGCAACGTTGAGTCGTGCTAAACGCTTGTTTTGGAGTACAAAATGTGGGCTGAAGGTCATTTCTCTCCACCCACGTCTCTCATTTTCAAACGGTTTAGCCGATTCTCGTTTCTCACACTCAAGCTGGCGAGGGTGAAGTCCCTTTCTCGTCTTCAATTCCCGTTGACTCTACTCTTTACATTTTTGCGGTCAACGCAGCAACTATGGCACTTAACAGAGGAACAGCTAATACTTGTACCGCCCCTGCTCAACTCGAGTCTGGAAGAAACTCACACGAAATTGCAAGCAATTGTCAGAACAAGCGTCGGACAGACGAAGGGGAAATTTCCTCGACCGGCGTTAATGTCCTGCTAGGCGAGACCGAGGCACGCGCCCCTAGTGTCAAGGCACATGTCCCTGGTGTGCCTCGAGCCCCTGTGGCCCCTAACTCACCGGCCACAACAGCAGGCGCCAAGTCCGCGCCTACCAGTGCGGCCAGCACCAAGCGTCAGCGCCAGCAACGCAGGCCCGTGGGCTCTGATGCGCCAGTGGGGCCTGACGCACAAGTGGCAATGCCAACATTTACTGCAGTGCAACTCCAGCAGCTGCTGACTCTATTACAGCAGCAAGCCCTTGCTGTTAGTGAAGAAATTGCTACACCAAATGCAACCTCCGTTCCTGCTAAGAGTGAAAATGTGAAAACAGAGTCTGTGAAGCGCGCTCGCATGACAAAAGCCAGAAAGGGCGAAGACACACGCGCCCCTGCTGCCCTAGTCATGAACAACCCTACCGACAACGACAATGAAGACGACGACGATGGTGAGGCACATGTTGTCAATGTCGCTTCTGGACCCGTTGAGCAACTTCCTCCGCTCCCTTCTCCCAATCCCACTCTCACCATCGCTTCATTTAAGATCGTCGCCATGCGCGAGCAAGCCGAGGTCCTATCGCACCTGCGAGCATATCTAAAGCATGCAGAGCACAAGGTGCGATACAACGAGCTGGCAAGCGCACTCGAATACATCGGCGAAGCCTTCGTGCTCATCAACAACCGCTTCAAGCTACTCCACGTCACCGACTACACCAACTTCCGCATCGCAAACATGTTCAAGTTCTACAAAGATAAGAGTGTCTTCACATCACGCCTGTTCAAGCAAGCCGTCGCAGACGTGGCGGCCATGGAGCACGCCCAAGGCAATTTCAATCGTACCCTACGTAACGGAGGGCGCGGGCCCATGGCATTTGGCAACAAGCGTGCCCCCCCACTCGACGGCAATGGCAGGAGCTTTCGTGGCTCATGCGTTCGTTGTGGGCAGTCGGGTCGCATGGCCAATGCTTGCCCGTTGAATGGGGGAGGAGCCCAAGGGCCGGCACCCGTGGTGTGAACGCCCTAGAGGGCGGTGCCGAGAGGCTTGAATGAGGGTGATGGCACTAGGGAGTGCGAAGGCCGCTGGCCTGTCCCATAGGGGATGCTAGAAAGGCCGCGGGCCTACCCCAAGGCAAGGGGTGTAGGACTAGGAGTCATAGGTGAACATGTGATTGCAATGATGCTTGTATGAGTGGGAAGGCGGAATGGGCTACGTTGTTGGACTAGCTTGAAAAAAAAAGGGGGGGGTGGGGGGAGCATGCACTCTTGATGTATGGAAAAACCTGAAACAAGGAACACCCATACGGCGTGGAAGTCTACGATACATGCGAGAGAGAGAGAGAGAGAGAGAGAGAGAGAGAGAGAGAGAGAGAGAGAGAGAGAGAGAGAGAGAGAGAGAGAGAGAGAGGGAGAGAGAGAGAAAGGGAAAATGTTCGGGCTATGCGAGCCCATAAAAGGCAAAGGAATCATATGTGAAGGAGGGAAAAAGGAAAAGAGAAGGTGTGGGACCTGGGGTCCCATGATGCCAAGAGCACATGCTATAAGGCAAGACTCACGGTGGCCTACAAAACTTGGAAGGTAGCAAATGGCCATCTGAAGAGTATGCGATGCATGAAGAAGAAGAAGAAGAAGAAGAAGAAGAAGAAGAAGAAGAAGAAGAAGAAGAAGAAGAAGAAGAAGAAGAAGAAGAAGAAGAAGAAGAAGAAGAAGAAGAAGAAGAAGAAGAAGAAGAAGAAGAAGAAGAAGAAGAAGAAGAAGAAGAAGAAGAAGAAGAAGAAGAAGAAGAAGAAGAAGAGGGGGCGCAGCGACGCCAGATGACAGCTGCTGCGATGACTGCAGCGACACTGACTGCGACGGCACAATCGTTGCACTCAGGCGCAAGGACGACGGTGGCGGTTGAAGGAGAGGGCCCACAATCTCCCGCTGGACAGCGGGAGAAGGGCGAGGCGGACGGCGGCGACGGAACGAACCACCGCGTGCGCGGAGGTGGGGGTGAGTCCGCCCTCGGGGAGAGTGATATATCGGCTCACGACGCCGGGCGGGCGTTCCGGCCCCCTCGTGCTCGACCAGCGCAGCGGCGGCTCAGAGCAGGGTTGGCGCCAGCCCGTCCCGGCCCTTCGAACGGTTGGGAGCGGCAGGAGGACCGGCTGAGCGATCCGACCGGGAGGAGGACCGGCGCTTGCCTGTCATCACAACGTCACCTGCACACACAGAGAGCCGAGGAGGAGGAACACGACGCGGCGGGTCAGATCGAGGAGAACCAGAAGGAAGAATGGGCGGCCGTTCTGGCGGCGGCGTGGCAGAGGCAGATGAACGAAACCAACAGGCAGAGGGCCTTACGTGAGCAGGCTGAAGATAGAGCAAGAAGCCAACAACCGCAAACCGCGGCGGGAAGCACGGCCACGAGGGGACGGGGGAGGGGCCGGGGCAGGAGGGGACGCGTGGGGCAGTTGGTGAGAGCCGTAGCACGGGAGAAGGCCAGTTCGTGAAACTAGCGGGAACAACACGGAAGGCCAGAGGACCAGAACGGAGAGCCAATGAATGACGCTGCTGGGGAAGAGGGGTCAGAATATATGGAAGAGGAAGAGGCCGAATCTGAAGAAGTGTCTGTGGAAGTTGAGGATGGGGTGCCTGCTGGGAATACGGGCAGACATCGACGTGGCGGGCGACGAGGAGAAGAGGGAAGTAACCCCGACGGGAGGGGACAAGTGGGCGAATCACTAGCTCAGTAGCCTAACGAATCTGCCAGCAAGGAACGCTCACCAAACGACATCGCGGATGATGATGGCACATGGCAGGCGGTCGAGAGTTGGGACCTGGACCCACTGCGCGCCAGTTCCCAACCATTCCTGATCAGGAAGCTTCCCCCGGAAATCCTAAAATCGTACAGCCACTGCCTCACAGTCCCCCTCCTGCGACTGACGAAATATCCGGGCTGCATGGGCGCGTGGAGAGTGCTGCAATTCCTGCCGCGACTCACCCTGAGGGCAAGCACGGAGAAAGTACCGGGAAACAGCTTCGAAGCGGTAGAGAAACACCTCCGCCAATTCCGAGATGAAGACTGGGGAGGACTGTACCTCCAAGCCTGCACCATCCCCGACAATTCCCAGCCACGAAGGCACGAGCCGGACCCAGCGGGCATCTGCGCAAGGGTGGAGGGGTTGGTCCGGAAGGCCAACCTGGCGAAAGCTGCGGCGGCCCTGCAAACCACTTCGCTGGCAGAGCCTTCGCGACAGACACTCGAAACACTCCAGGCGAAACATCCTCAGGCGGCTGTGGCGATACCAGAAGGGTTGGGGGGTTACGGCGAAACAGCACTTGCAATCAACACAGATTCGTTCCGCGACATCCTGGCGAAGTGCCCAAACGGAATTGGGGCAGGCCCGTCGGGTACTTGTTTCGAACACCTCCGCGACCCAGCCCTAACAAATGGGGAAGTCTTCTATCTGCTGCACCAGGTAGTCAATCGCCTACTGAGCACTTACCAGGACGCGCCGCTGCGAGAGCTGCTGCTACCATCAAGATTAATAGCCCTAGGGAAACCGGACGGCGGAGTAAGGCCAATCGCGATAGGAGGCACTTCTCAGGCTGACGACGAAGGCGGCGTTAAGAGAACTTTCTGGGGAAATCCGCTCGCATTTCCTGCCAGTACAATACGGGGTAGCGGTTCAGGGGGGGGCAGAGTGCATAGTACACACGGCCCGAACTCTGCTAGCGGAAAATCCGACGAGAACTATATTACAACTGGACATAGAGAACGCATTCAACTCCGTTGAACGGGGGAGTTTCCTGTCGACACTACTGTGGACCGGCGGTTTGAGCTCCATGCTGCCTTTTGCGAGAACACTGTATGGCGAGCCATCACAGCTACTGCTGGACAAGGGTTTCACCATCAGCTCCATCGACAGCGCACGCGGCGTCAGGCAAGGGGACCCGCTCGGACCCTTGCTTTTCGCGGCAGCCATACAACCGGCTCTGCTAGCAGCGGCAGTAGCAGTCCCGGGCGTGACAGTGATGGCGTATGCAGACAACATCACCATCATTGGTCACCCGGCAGCTGCGACAAGGGCATTCACCATGATTTGCCGGAAGCTCGTGGGAGTAGGGCTGCAATGTAATCTTGCCAAATCATCGGTGTGGAGCCCGACAGGAAATACAACGGATTTACCGGAAGGATTGGCGGCAGCGGTGGACGAAGTGCAGGTCCTAGGGAGCCCGATAGGCACAATGGCGTACGGCAGACGCACGCTGTGGAGATCACTGGAACGGATAGCTCTACCGCTAAACCTAGTGAGCAAACTACACCCACAACACGCGATGCTGCTACTGTCTCGATGCATATCGCGTAGAATCTCCTACATCCTGCGCACAACGCCGGCGGATGTCCTCCCCGTCCGGGAGTGGCGGGGGTGGAGCGAGAGGTTGCTGTGGACAGCTCTAAGGACGGCCAAACTCAACGTACCTTCGAAGGAGCTGGAGCAGAGTCTGATATGGAGGCATGCAACATTACCCATCGCTTTGGGCGGCGTTGGGCTGATTGACCCACTCTCGGAAGCTCCAGCGGCGTACCTTGCTTCACTAAGGGCGGCACAGACGCTGCTACAGCAAATGCCGCCCTCACCGAACCATCTGCTGGAGCAGATGGCAGCACTGGTGGCACCAGCGGGGGCGGGAGTGGCAGGAAGGGGGGGGAGGCGCTGCGGGACCTGCAGAACAGACTCCCCGAGGAAGCAAGAGAGCTGCTGAGAGCGCCGCGAGACGACAGGGGAGGGAGGGGGCGCCTGCAGGAACAACTGTCACGCCACGTGAACCTGACCCGGGCGGCGGAGCTGATTGGCAACACGCGGATTGACAAGCCCGGGGAGGACAACGGGCATGTGGTCCGGTTGATCAGCTTGCAGGGGGTAGGGGCGGGGGACTGGCTCCACGCTATCCCCACACGGGCTGATCTGACGTTCTCGCCGGGTCAGTTTGCCTTGGCCCTGGGATTTCGCTTGGGATTGCCGCTGCCGGTGACCAAAAACTGCCCATGTCAGGGGGAGCAGGGGGAGATCGAGGATCTGAGCTTGCCGAACCACCTGCTGCGGTGTGGGGAGGGGAAGGAGAGGACAAACGCACACAACACCCTAGTGTACGCGGCACTTCGCATGGCCAGGGAAGCCGACTACCTCACCTTGCATGAAACCACGGTCTACTCGCAACCCGTCAACCCCAAGCGAGCAGACCTGACCATCAAGGACAGGGAGTCGGCCGAGACGTACGTGACTGATGTCACGGTGACCGACCCCGTCCTGCAGCGCCGGGACACCAGGGCTGTGAAACCGCCGGGATGGGCAGCAGAGGATGAAGCGATAAGGAAAAGGGGATTATATGAGGGGCGACCGGACTATGTGGGGGTGTTTGGGTTGGCAGTGGAAACCTAGGGCGCCCTGGCACGAGACACACAATGGTTTCTCCGGCTCTTGGGCAGGCAGGCGGCTAAAAAGAAGTTTAGACAGGGTAGGCTCACCACAGTGGCTTCCAAACTGACTGCCCACTAGCGCCAGCGCTGGTCGGTAGCGCTGCAGAGAAGCCAGGCGAACACTTTCCTGGCAAAGTCTAACCGGGCTGTGGAGAGTGCCTACCCCCAGGCGACGACTGACCCATGGGAGCCTCGCCTGGGGGACCTGTGCCAGGTCATTGAGGATGACCTGGATTGGGGGCCCCCCCTGGACGAGTGAGGGGCGGGGCGTTGGGGCGGCCAGGGCGCGAGCTGGCCTGCCACGGGGTGATATTCAGGTTGTCTGTGGGCTTGATGTTGCTAGATGGCTTGATGGCATAGATGGCTAGGCTCATAGGCTCGATGTCACGCGTGCTGAACCTCCCATGCCTGGCCTGTATCCTACTTAATATCAATAAAGGACTACTTGAGAGAGGGGGGGGGAGGGGGTAGGGGAAGGGGCGTCAGCATGCACATTTGCGCGCATTGGATCTAGTTAATTGTACGCAGAACCTACTTTCCGAACGCCCCTGCTTAACGAAGCATGCCCCATGTTGCCCCCACACCCCATGGTGTAATGACTACAGATATGCCAGGTAGTGGAACGATCGAGGGGTATGGCCCCTATGAGTTTGCGGTCACTAACAAGTTCGTCACGACCATGCGTGGGCGCCTACGCACAACATTTCCATGGTGGAGCTCATGGTGTGAGAGCAGTTTCATATTCTCTGTGATCTCCGATGGCTCTTGGATGCCATGGAAGCACGGACCACCCATGCCGTTCTGGCAAGACAACCATGCAAGAGCGCTAATTCATTCCGCGTTTACCAAGCACGGAATTACCGAGCTTCTCGAGAGTGGTGCGGCCACTCCCGGCCCCGCGGAAAAACAGCCATGTATCAGCCTGCTAAATGCGGTGGTTTAAAGAGATAAGTGCCGACTGATTCTTGACCTCCGAAGGGTAAACCAAAATTTGTGTATCCCAAATTCATGTACAAAGGACTGAAGCGGGTGGCAGAGCTCGTTCACGAAAAGACTGGACGTTCAAAGTCGATCTAAGATCCGAATACCACCACATCGACATCCACCCTTCATGCTGGAAGTTCCTCGGGTTCCAATTCGACAAGCGCTCGTACGTCTTTTGATCTCTACCATTTCGTATTGCGACAGCCCCGTTCGTTTTCACACAACTCGTCAAGCAGCTCGCCCGTCGTTGGTGGCCCCTTAGGGTGCAAGTCATCCCTTACGTCAACGATATCCCTTTTCTGTGTCCCTTTTCGGGTCAGATGGTGGTGCAAGACCTCAGCAAGTCTGGATTGGTCATCAATTCTCAATAGTC